GTCATTACACTCAGACTCACTGAGATTAGGTTATAAGAAGGCACTGGAATCGCCCGAGTCGGCCGTGGGAGCGTCAGTGAGTAACTGCCAGGCCAGCTGAGCCGGCATGGAAATGCGTTTATCTCGGGGCTCTTAGCTCCTTCCACTGTTCTGCCCAGAACATCAGACTCCTAGATGTGTGCTCAGCCCCGCTTCCTCCGAAAGCCTCACTCCTGGGAAACGGGATCTCTCCTGCAGCTGGGGTCCACGACGAGTGTCCTACGGGCTGGGGGCGGGGCCACTTGGCCCCGGGAACAATGAGGCCATTGCCTCTTCTGCGTGCTGCGGGCCGGATATCCGTTCTGAAGGCGGCTCTGGGCTTTCTCTGTCCAGAAGGAGGAAACCTTCGGTCACCAGGGCTGCAAGGAAATAGCAGGGAGGTGCCCCGAGGAACGGAGAACAATTATGCATGGAGAATATAAAGAAATGAGCAAACTTTCCAGGCCTTGGACAGCGATTCCAGTTACCCGGGATTATCTTCTTTCCTGGTGTAAATACCTTCATGCCACCATTCCTTAGTGTCTGGATTTGGTCAGTGGGCCTCACTTAACTCCTCTGCAAAGTAGGGCCAAGTGGTTTGCCTGTCAGAAAGCAAAGAGCTGAACAGATAACTCCTTAGGCAACTTGCAGCCCTCCAGGAAATATTATTCTGAGCTTTGCCACCTATCCACATGCCCGGAACACTAATTTGTGATGAAAAGGACTCTATTAGGAAGAGAGTCTCTTAAAAGCTGCAGCATATTAAAATCTACCAACTCCAGGGCTCTGACTGTAGCTCAATGGTAGAGCACTTGCCTAGCGTGTGTGAGGCGCTGGGTTCGATCTTTAACACCCCATAAAAATAAATAAAGGCATCTGTTCATCTACAACTACAAAAAAAAAAAATATTTAAAACCACCAACTCTAATGGGCACTTCCAGCAGTCTAAGTCCTGATGAAGCCCAAAGTTTTAAAAAATAATAATTTTTAATACCTTTAGATGTCTTATACTCCCTAGTAACTTACTCAAAATTTCTTTTGCCTATAGATCACCTAGTAATCTGGTTAAAACGCAGACCTAGTTCTGGAGAAAGTATGAAATTCTACCATTTCCAACAAACTTCAGTGTTCTTTCAATCCTGCAGGTCAATAGACCACACTCTGAGTAACAAAGTTCTACAGTTTACATAGTCCCCACCATTCTCTTGTCTGTCCAAGTCTCTGGTGATTTTACCTATCTGTCCCCTATAGACATTTGTTTTTGTAACCCTCAAAATCTCTGCTTCCTCTTTCATTTTGCAGATGGGAAACACACCCAGAGAGAATACATAAGTCCTGCTGGTCACTCAGCAAGAAGATGTTACCCTGTCCAGTTCTCCTGCCAATACAGGGTAGGCATCCTGCCTACAAAATAAATGATTGTATGTTAAGTATCTGTGCCTCTATGAGGAAATTAAGATATTCCAATGGCTTGCATTTGCACAACCTCAACTGGGGGCCAGGCCCTATGCTGTTTATGTGGGTTATTTCAATGAACATACACCCAGAAGAGATAGGGGATAGTTCTACTTTATAGATAGAGAGTTTTTTAAATTTGTGTAGGGTCACAAAACTAACAAGTAAAGGACCCAAGATTTAAACTCAATAGGCTGAACCCAGAGTCTGCATACTTGGTTTCCAGCTATCTCAGGCTGAGAGGCACAACATAGTTGTGACTGTTCTGTTTGGTTGCCTGAGTGAACTTATAACAAGGCAAAGCAGGCAGTTGACTAAATGATTCAGACTTAAAGGGGTTTTCCCTTCTGGTCCATAATTCCACCATTATTGCTTCATTCCTTTCAATTAACTGCATTAATGATTCACAGTCTTCTTGAAAAATGGGTTTGCTTCAAGGAAGAGTAGTCTATTAAATATCAATAGCTAAGAAGGGAATCGGTGAGAGCCAGCTGAAAGCAAGAATAGAAATCCAAATGGAAGGATGAGACAGACGGGAATACCCGGAAGGTAAACACTGACATCCAACTGTGCTCAGTTTAGCAGAGCTAAAAATGCAAAAGAAACAGGGAATTTTATTCTACAGGCACCTGTATTTCCCATGGCAAAGCTGCTGGGTCAGAGTCCTTGTAAATAGGAATCTGCTTTCTGGAAAGCCATGACCTGTCTTTATCCTAAAATGTGGATTCCCTTTGCCTGAATAATCACTTAGACATTCAGAATCATGCTAGAACTGGTGTTTCCCTCCTTTGCTGGCCTCTCAGCTAGCCTGTGGATTCTCAGGAAGCTCTGGATATAGAGCTTTCAAGTTCTCATTAATTCTCTTCTGCAGACTGTATGTTCCAGGCACCGCAGGCAGTACAAGACAGTTCCCCAGGGAGCCCACAACTAGGAAGGAAAGCAAGTGGGGAAGCCGTCACCTCCACAATGGAATAAGGCCATTGTGTAGACACACACAAAGGACCCTGCAAACAGAGGAAGAGGTGATTTCAGGCACACAGAAAATCCTGAGAGAGGAGAATTGGGAGCTGAAAGGGGGTTGGAGGCATGAGGCCTCTGGTTCACGTCCCCTCCATTCCTAAAGTCCCTCCATAAATGGCCCCCAGTGGTTACCAAATTTGACATTTAAGATGTCACTAGGGTATAGACCACCTATATTCTATTGACTTGTTTAAAGTCAACTCATTTCTAAAAACTTTTTTCATCTGTCTTAGTCCATTTTCTGTCACCATAATACAATTCCTCAGACTAGATAAGTTTTAATAAAAGAGGTTTATTTTGGAAAATAGTTCTGAAGGTCCAAAGTCAAGGGGTCACATCTGGTAATGGCCTTCTTGTTGACAGAGTCCAAAAGTGGTATAGAATGTCACTTGGTGAGAGACAAGGAACACAGTATACATATGTCCTCAGGTCTGTCTCTTATTATATGGTCACCAGGATTCAATCATAGGTGGTGCACCCTGAGGACCTAACCCTAACCCCCTCCTCCCTC